GCGCCCGCGCCTGCGCACGGCCACGTTCGCCTTGAAGCCCCACGCGGCGCCTGTGCGGCGTGCAGCGGGGCGGGGTCGGGGGCGCGTGCGCCGCGCTCCCACGCGGCCCCCTCCCTCGCACCCGCCACTCACCCGCACCCGGCCGCGCCTCAACAAACGCAACCCCCGCAGCTACGACGAGTTTGGGCGCCTCAAGCGCCGCACCGACGCCGACCGCGCGGCCCGAGAGGCCGCGGCCCTCGCGCGCCTGCACGGCGGCGGCAGCCACGCCCCCAGCTCGGCCGAGCCGGGCGGCTACGGCGGCGGCGGCGGCGGGTACGGCAGTGGCGGCGGCGGCCGGGACTACGACGGGCGCGGCGGCGGCGGCGGCGGCCGGGATTACGAGTCGGGCGGCGGCGGCGGCCGCGGCGGTTATGAGCGGGAGCGCGAGAGGGACTATGACCGGCCGCGGGGCGGCGGTGGCGGCGGCGGCGACAGGCGGGGCGACGAGCGCGGGCGCGACTATGGCGGCGGCCGCGACTACCGGCGCTGAGCGGGCCAGCGTCTGGTGGCTTTCTGGCGCCACAGCCCGCGGTTGGGCGCAACGTGGGGGCCCTGCTTGGGGCACATGCGGCCAAAAGGCGGCGGGGCCGAGGGCGAGGGGCGGCAGGGTGGGGCTGCGCCAGGGAATGGGGTTTTCACTTCGCAACGCGGCAGTGGGTCTGGGCGTAGGAATGCCGCACTCGTGGCCTGACACTCGCGTTAGCTGCTGTTTTTCGGAGCACCAGGGCTGCCAGTCTTGGTGCGAGAGCAGGCCACGCGGCTGGGCCATTAATATGTTTGAGCTACTGGTTGTTCTTTTCAGGGGCGACGCTGAAGCAGGCCAAATCTCCCACTCGCCCGCTCTGCCGGTGCTTGGCGTGTGCGTGCGTGGTTGCTGCATGCGTGCGGGCTGAGAGTGCAGCTGCCAGCGTGGCGGCCGCGCACGGGCTCTTGTAATAGCATAGACGGTTGCTGCGGCCTTTCGGCCGTACTGTGGGTGTGGGTCGGGCAAGGGGTTGGCATGTCGGGGGGGGGGGACAGACCATCGCGGATGGAGCACAGACAATTCAACGTTCGGCGGGTGTGTGTATGTGGGGGGGGGGCATGCTACGGTGGTGTGCGGCAGCGGCAGCAGTGACATGGGCTCCTGCACCAGAACCGGGACCAGGGGCCAATCAACAACACGAGTCGTGTTGCACACAGGGCTGTGGCTGTGACCAACCCACGCACTCAGGTTGCAACGCAGCAAAGCGGCGTGCCGTCGGCCAGACCGTGCGCATCGCAGCGCGCAGCGTGCGGCCAGGTGCGGCGTCACCAGCTCCATGACACGCGGGGCTGGGACCCAAGGGTCATGGTGAAAGAGAAGGATATGCAGGTCAGTGGATGTGCAACCGAAGGCATCCATTCCACAGGCTCGTGTTGTGCTGATGGCAACATGTGTGGTAACCAAATGCTGGATGTGGATGGAGAGGTGGTTCTTGAAGTTTTTGCCGTGTCAGATCGCGTTTTTGGGGACCACCACATTCTGTAGCACTAATGCTGTTGACGGAGTGCCGCGCGGTTCCGCTTGAGGCGGGGCTTGTTGAGGCGTTGGAGGCTAGAGGACGGCCGCTCACATGGCAAGCATGTGCATGAGAACGCTTGCATGCATGCGTACACACACGCATGCACATGCAAGCACTCACGAGCACACCAGCACACACACACAAACACACACACACACACACACGCATCTCCCCCCCCCCCACACACACACAAATTTGTTTGCGCCGCCTGGATAAGACGAGCACCGACCTCGCCAGCCATACAGTATCGCGTGTGCCCCTACATGATCCCGAAAGCTGGTATTTTCCCAGTGTAAGAAGAAGGGGACAGGGAGGGGGCTGGAGGGTGCGCTGCTGGGGTGGGGGCACCCTGCAATGCCGTTGACTGCGCGCACCCGAGGCCGGCGTCGCCCACGCGCACAGCGCAGAAATGAAGGGTAAGCCAACACATGTCTGCATGCGCATTCTGAGACGACCTCAATTCTGATCCCAGCTAACAGCGTGTCATCAGTGTGCAGGTGCTGAATGCAGTCAACGGCTGGGAAGTCGGGCTTTGGGGGGCGGCGAGGGCCACAGCATGACAGCGGCGAAAAGCGGCCCCGCTCGTTACGGCGCGCCTTTGCAGCCACGGTGCTCCATGAAAAATTGCATGTTCTGTATCCCACGACGACACCGTTGCGCACTGTGCCCGTTCACCCCGCTTTGTGCATTGGGTGACCTGGTGTGTAGCATCCTCGTCATTGCTGGGCACGCTGATGCGCATCGGCCCGACGCCTCGGCACAATGCTGCTTTAAACAATGGAATGGTCTTCAAGGCGCACACACGTAGCCTGACGATTGCAGCAACTTGCCTGGCAAGATTGCCGCGACAAGGTCGCTTGTAGCAGCTCAATTCGTTGATAACAGCATATCAGGGCCATAATATAGCACCAACTCCAGCCTGCAGCCGTGTGTCGCACCCGGCGCCCAAGCAGCAGGACCACCATCAGCACGAGCAGCGGAGGCGGGAGCAGCGTCGCAAAGCCATGGCGCTTGCAGCCGCCAGTGGCGAGGCTGTCAGTGATCCGAGCTTGCAGACGCCCTGGGGCGCCTTGACTCAAGCGGTGAGCGAATGGACTAAGTAGGCCGTTGCGGCCCCCACCCTTTGCATCAGCTGAGCTCACCCATCCCTCCGGCCGCCCCACCTTGGCCCTTGCCGTCTGCCCCATAACCATCTCCGCCTCAACCTCCGCCTTCACACGCATGCACGCGCGCACACACACACACACACACACACACACACACACACGAACATATAGTGCACAGCCCCGCCCGCCCCACAACCACCTCCGCTCCCCTCGGAACACCACACGGACCGTCACCCTCAGGTGCGCGAGACGTGGCTGCAGCTTCGCTACTTTCTGTCCACCAACTTCTGCCGGGGGGAGGACATGCCCCTAGTCGAGGCCACTGAATTCTTCTTCGACTGCCTCCCGCACAGCGACAAGGTGCGGGGGAGGGGCCCTCCGACCGCGCCTGCATGCGCAGACGCAGAAACGGCCGCACCAGCGGGAGCACCAGCAACAATGCCGGCAAGCAGGGGCGGCGGCAGCCGCGGCAAGTGCGCGAGCGGCCAGTGACGGTGGCAGCAGCAGCCGGTCTCGGGCGCCGAGCGCTGCAGGCTGCACAGCGCCCGGACGGGCAGAGGCGTCGGGGGCGCGTGCACATCCCGTCGCAAGCGTCTCGGCAATCTCAAGGGCATCAACGGCCCCTTCCCTGAACGCCTCCTCAGCGCCCCTCCTCTCCCCTGCTGTCCCCCCTGTCCCTTGCACACCCTTGCTGACCTCTCCCGTCGCCCCTCGGCCCTCGTGGCCCCCACAAACATCACGCAACCCAGCTCTCAACGGTGCAGCGCCTGGCCATCATGCGGGACCTCCGCTCGTCGGTCCACGACGCCGTGGGGGAGCTGTACGCGCGGGAGCAGGAGCAGCGCCGCCGCCGCTCCTCGCGCTGGGCGCTGCGCGACGCGGAGGGCGAGACGGCTGCGCGGACGGCGTCGCTCGCGATGAGCGTGTACTCTGCACAGTGGGAGTTTATGCACCACCAGGCCGGCGCGCTCGAGCACCCGTTCCAGCTGCGCGCGGGCCCGGAGTGGGCGGCGTGGCGCGAGCAGGAGCGGGAGCGCGCGGCGCGCGCCGCGCGGCGCGACGAGGCGCACGCGAAGCTCGCCCGGGCGGCGGGCGGCGGCGCGGGCGCGGGCGTGCTGACGCCCTTGCTGGCGGCCGGGGCCGACCCACAGGCGGGCGACGGCGCGGGCGATGGCACGGGCAACGGCGCAGACGGCGAAGCGGCTGTCGAAGGCCTCGTCAGCACCGCAAACGCACACACCACCAATGGCCACAGCGCTGCGGACCTGTCCGAACTCGTGGTGGCGCCGGCGGCAGCGGCGCCTGGCAGCGCAGCTGAAGGGTTAGATGAGATTGAGTATGATGTTGAGGCGCCACCAGCGGCCGCATGCACGCAGCAGCTGCAGCAGCAGCAGCAGCAGCAGCAGCAGCAGCAGCAGCAGCAGCAGCAGCAGCAGCAGCAGCAACAACATCAGCAGCATCCCTCAGCCCCACCCGCCAGCCCCAACGCTCCCAGCAACGGCGGCGCGTGGGGACCTGCGGTAGCAAAGTCAGCGGCCAACGGCCACAGCGCCTCGGCGGACGAGGCCGCCGTTGCGGATCAAGGTGCAGACGCCAGGCTTGAGGGGCAGGTTGTGGCGGCGCCGCACCCCACGGCTGCGTAAGGTGGCTGCAGGGCTTGCCTGCCGCTGCACCGCGGTCGGGGAACGTGTGGTTTGGCAACCGATCAATTGCAGGCCTTCCTTGAGCGGCGGCTGCCGGAAGTTGGTGCGCCCAGGCGAGCAGCCCCGCGAGTAGTGCAAGTTGCTGGCACAAACGGCAATCAGCTAGTCCTGATGCAAACCCAAATGACTGCTCCTATCTTATTTGTGATGGTGCCAGCGTAGATCTAGCCTTACTTTCTTTACTTCACCCTCCCATGACAACGCTCTGCTATTGCGGCGCGCCATCTGGGGGTTCAATGCATGCCTGTAGTGCTAGGCTTCCACACAGTTTCCCTTTTCCCTTAAGCTGGGCCCTGCGCTGCCTGTTGTTCTGTGTTGATTAGTCAAGTTGGGACCAACTTTTGGAGCTCGGTCATTCGTCAACCCCACGGGCATGCCCGCAGCTCGAGCTGCGGTGGTGAAAGCACAAGACGATGACGCGCCCCGCCATGCCGTGTTGTCGCCGTGTGTGCTTGGCATGAGGTCCAGTGTAATGGTGGGTGTGGTCCTTAACACGATGGCAGTAGAGATGTGGCTTGATGGTGTGTACTGCAGGGGGGGGGGGCTGCATGCTTCATCAAATCTAGTGCGTGCGCACAGGCCAATCCGGAAAGTCCGACCTAGAAAGGACATTCAGTGCACATGCTCAAGCCCACCTGCAGGACCTGAATGTCGTAGACCACATTTGAGATAAACTTTGTATCGGAGTGGCCCAAAATCGCCATGGACCCTGCGCCGCTGGTGCCGGTCTGTTTGCTGCCACGTCACGGCAGTGCAGTCCTGGGACATCGCACACTACCGTACAGTACCTCGTTGTGAGGGCCGCCCATGGCAGCGATCGAATATAGCTTGTGGTATGCAGATAACGAGCGATGTGTTTGTAGTCTCCTCGTGTATTTTCGGGGCACCTCGCACCTCGCACCTCGCACCTGATCTACGATATGGCGCGCCATCAATGATGGCAGCTCACCGATGGCTCCCTTATGCGCACCACTGGCTCTTTTTAGCTTCGTATCGGCTGCCTCGATCTCAGTCATCTGGGCAATCCGCCTTGCAACCCGCGCGCGCCCCTCTGGCCAGCGTAGGCGCCCGGCTGTTGAATCGAAGGCCCAGGTGAGCATACAGAGTCAGCACCACGATCAGCGGGCCCGCTTACAACGCTCAACCCGGACAGCGCAGTGCGCTGTTGGCTGTTGTGCCGCACCCGCTTTCGTGCCACTTCGCTGCGCGCAGCGCACGTATGCAGCCAAGTCACTCAGAAACGGTGCGCTTTCACCATTCGACCGTGCATGCCCGCAGGCTGAACACGACACCCACAAACAGGCGTGCTCGAGCGAGGCGCCTGACGGCGCACGTGTCAGCAGCGGGCAGGCGGGCGGCGCCGTGTGCACGCATGGAGGCGGTACAGGAGGTGATCCAGCAGCAGAGCGTGGACACGCGGCGGGCGGTGGCGTAGGGCATGCTCGGGTGGCGCTGCCTTGCATGGAGGCAAGGGAGCGCGAGCAGCATGCTGTGCTGCTCAACAATCAGCAGCAGCAGCACACGCATGACGACGACGGCCAACAGCAGCAGCAGCAGCAACAGCAGCAACAGCAGCAAGAACGAAAGGAGGAGGAGGCTAGCAAAAGGCCACCTGTGCTGCACCCACACCAGCAAACGGAGCAGGAGGGGCCATCCGCGCCGCCGCAGCCGCAGCCCCCACCACGATGGCAGGGCTGCGAAATGCCGGGCGCGGCCGCTGCCGCTGCTGTCGTGGTCCCTGGCTGCGGGGGGGCCGGCGCAGCGGGCAATGACAGCGACTCCTCACGCTCCCCCTCCCCTCTGGATCCGGCGGCGGCGGCGCTGCCTGCCGCCCTCGTCTGCGCCACCCCGCCGCCCCCAGCCGCGGCGGCCGAGCCGTCCGCGGCGCCGGCAGGTGACGGCAGCAGCGCCGGCGGCGGGAGCGGCGGTGGGGGCGGCCACCAGGCGCGGGTATCGGCCAGCGACTGGCCCGCTCTGTTTCTTCCGAGCGAGCGCCCGGAGGACGGCGCCCCGCCTGCTGGCGCGGCCGACCCTGCGCCAGGCGGCGGCGGCTCTGGTGGCGGCGGTGATCCCGCGGCAGCGGTGAGCTCGACGCAGGCGGCTGCGGGCGACGGCAAGGGCGCGGGCGCGGCGCCGCCGTCCCCGCCGCGCGCGCCTGCGGCGGCAGCGGCGGCGAAGGAGGATGAGGAGGAACCTGCGCGCAGCAGCACGCTGCCATCGGGCGGCCAGACGCAGGCCCGCACGGCTGCGGCGCCGCGCGCCGCCGGCCGCCCCGCGCAGCGACCGCACACGCGCGGCCGCGGCGGCGGGCCGGGGCCGGGGCCGCCGCACAGCCGCCTGTCAAGCAGCAGCGGCGGCGG